ATATTCAATAATAGTAACAATGAAAATTTTTAATGTTCATTCGTTTGGTAGGATGAAATGAATTGCAATAAACATAAATGCACGGTCAACGAGTTTAAATGTAACAATGGTAAATGCATTCCCTCCCATTGGCACTGTGATGCCATTTTTGATTGCGATGACCACGAGGACGAAGGTGGTAATTGCAAGTATTTGGCATGCGAAGAAGATGAATTCCAATGTTTAGTCGGTAAGCATATGATTATACGTTTTTTATATTATAAGTATATTTATTATTATTGTTGTAAGTTTATCATTGGGTCTTTGCAAACTACTTTATTTGTACTTTAGGTACGTGTATCCCCGGTAGGTGGCGCTGTGATGGTGAATACGATTGTAATACTTTTGAAGATGAAGAAGATTGTGAGTTCTGCAGGTCGGATGAATTTAGATGTGATTCGGGAGTATGCCTATCGAATGTAAATGGATAAGTCCAACTTTTATATAGGCCTTGTCGCATTTTGTTAGCTGGAACGGCTCATGGTTTAAAATATATTGTATACTAGCCGAGAGATTTAATGATTCTAGTTGTAAATTTAAACAATTGCAATTATTAATTGTTGGTACGTTTGTTATCAGTAAAAGTTTCATTTAAGAGTTTGCAGAGGAATCTGCAAAAAGGCTCGATGTAAGTTGAAGACATCTGGCCATTAATTGCTATTCGATTGAATAATTTTATAATTTTTTAAATACATTATATTTTTTAATGTCATTAAATTTAGGAGATAGAGTAGGACTTAGGCAAACAATGACCTAATGGTAAACTTGAAAAAAAAAAGTTCATTCGCATTCAAAAGTAACTCACCGATTACAGAAGGGACGATGGTTTATAAACCAAGTCTTCTTGTAAGAGGTTTAGGGAGTGGAGTTGCTGTCACAGGAATTGAACCCAGGACCCTTGGATTAGCCATTATGCTATTCACCTCCACTCTTTTCTAAACCTTTTTAACAAAACCTTTAATATATAAACCACATGTGTACCAACTACAACTTTATACCAAAATATTAAATCTTAAAAAGATAATTCACGATTATAAATTATTTTTTCAGACTTTGGTGTGTAATCATAACAATGACTGCGAACATGGAGAAGATGAACATTTGTGTATGGGATACAATCAAGTATGCTTCGGACAATATATGTGCGACTACGGCACTTGTTTTCCACTGGACGTCTTGTGTGATGGCATCAAACAGTGTATAGACGGCCAGGACGAATCAAACTGTTTGGCGTGCTCATCTACGCAGTTCAAATGCTGGGATGATAAATGCATTGATCATTACCGTTTATGTGACGGATACGGAGACTGTTCAGAGGGAGAGGATGAGCATCATTGTGTGGACAAATGTCACGACGGATTCTTGTGTGACGATGGCTCCTGTATATCAGCATCAGACGTATGTGATACAACACCTGATTGTTTCTATGGTGAAGACGAACGGTCCTGTGGGTGCTACGATTATGAGTTTGAGTGTAACGACGGTTCGTGTATTGGCAGAAGGTTAAAATGTAATGGTTACGTTGACTGTGCCGACGGTTCGGACGAAGAGGAGTGCGTGTCTAGCTGCGGCGAAAGGATGACTTGCCGTGATGGTCAATGCGTTTCTTTTGCGTTTAAATGTGACGGAATTTTTGATTGCAGTGAAGGGGAAGACGAATTGGGATGTGAGACCGTTGCCTGCACCGAAGACAGTTTTATTTGTATTAACGAACTGTGTATTGAGCAATCAGAGGTGTGTGACGGAATTGTTGACTGCCCTGAGGAAGAAGATGAAGAAAACTGTTTATTTGCACCTCATTTATATTGTTGTGAAAGTGGAGCTTGCATATTCAAGGGTGAGTTGTGAAAGATTTGTTTATAGTCACTAATCTCTGAAAGGGAATGCCATTCCGCTGAATAGTCTGCTGAATTTTCGCCTCGGCCGCTCTGCCTATTTTCGTTGTAAAATCTCTCCATCTTCTTTTGTCTGATGCTATAGATGTTGAGGATTTCCTGTAGATCCGTTGTGCTTAAGGTCTCTCTTTAGCGTAATTGGTAGAGTATACACAATGGCCTCCCTCTAAACTTAATAGCCGAGCTGCCTCTAAACTTCGTTAGTTTTTAAAATACAGGTCGATTTCTGCAACAGGAAATTCATATTGAATTCATTTCTTTTGTTTTTTAAATTGGTATCTTTATCAAAGTTTTTTTTTTTACTAACCGAGACAAAAACTTCACTTTCTGTAAGACTCAGTACTATGTAAGCCTACTTTGTATTGCATTGTGCTTTCTAAACCTTATATTTGTGCAACATTTACTTTCTACCTAGATGAAGTTTGTGACGGATATGTGCATTGTGAACATGGTGATGATGAGCGGGGTTGTACCCCCAATTGTATCGATCGATTTCAGGTATAAACAAAATACAATGAACTTTATATGTTACATAAATGACAGCAAGTTTCTTAAATTTTACTTTAAATTTATATGAAGTGTCAAGATAAAGTTCTGTTGGCCTTTAAACCCCTTCATGATATTGTAATTGGAACTAAAATGCAAATATGGTCACATAAGCCTACCCCGTTTTCTGGTTAGCAGCCATATTTGCATATGTGGCGAGATAGAACATGAATACAGATCAATTTTACGTCTGCATGAATTGGTTCCTTTTTTAACCTGTGTCTTTTCGTCGAGGAATATCAACCGGTAGGTCTCTATGGTAGGTTGCAATGTTTCCTACTTTTAATACCAGCCAAGTAAAGTCTCTGGAATGTGATTAAGAGTGGATTTGTTTTTAAACACATGCCCAGTGTTCCGATGGTCAGTGCATAGAACTTGATCAGGTATGTGATGGTCACGTGGACTGTATTGATGGTAAAGATGAGACGGTTTGTGGCTTCAAAGGCAAGTGCGGAGATAAAGTGTTTTGGTGTTCTGATGGAAACTGTATTCCTAAGGTAAGAAAAAAAAATTAAAATAGGTTCGTGTTTAATGTTCATAATTACGTCATTTTCGAAGTAATTATAAATGCCCTGTATCACATTGTAGGCCTATAGTTATCGAAAAAAATTATATAGAAATTAGTGAGCAAATCTCATAAGCTTATATTTGTAAACTGACATATTGGTGTAGGACGGGATCCAGCATTTTGAAATCAGTGTGCAGGAAACCTATTTTAGTAATGATAATTGGAAGTCTTGTGTAATTAATACGTTGTTGTGTCCTCAGTGTCACGCCCTTCCCCCAGGATTTGCCTCTGTGTCCTCTAATCAATATGCATCGGTGCCTATTTCATGTAGGTGTATGTATATTTGCATATTATAGGAGCGTGTGGTGCAGCGTGTAAGGTGTTGGACTGATGGGAGGAGGTTGCACTTTGTGCTGGGGTTGATTATGTTTTCGATGACCAGGGGTAATAATAACAACATCGCCAGCGTCTTGTATCCCTTGCCAAAAAGCGTGTTATAAATCTCTATATTGTTATTATAACATTATGTAGAGTAGGCCTTTGTTTGACGGGATGCATAATATGGTTAAAAGTTTGCACTGTTCGTTTTTTATTAACCAATTCAGGAGTACCATTGTGACGGAGCATTTCCCGATTGTTACGATGGCTCTGATGAACATTTATGCATTACTGGACACTGCAATTCCCTACAATACTTTTGCGAGGCTGATAATATTTGCATGAACAAATCTGTAGTTTGTGATGGCTACAACGATTGTAGTGACCATGCTGACGAGGAGGATTGTTCAGACCCTATATGCAAATATGACCAGTTTCTGTGTGAATACAGCAATCAATGTATTCCGATTGAGTGGCGATGTGACGGCTTTCTCCAAGACTGTATAAAAGGAGAAGACGAGTGGCATTGTCCTGGTCTTTGTACTGAAAATCAATACCAGGTTAGTTATAACAGTCCGATTGTTTGTACCATGTATTTGATGCGTTCTTCTAAATTTTTGGAAAGACACAATGAATTTCTGCCTTTTATTTCAGGTTGAACTATTGGATTGTGGTCTAAACCCATTACAAACTTCATAGAATGTCAATTGCCACCTGTTCAGTTACCACTCTATCTTCTTCATTTGTCTGATACATTCAATAATAGATAGACTAATAAATACTTCAGATTTATGTTTATCAGTATCAAAACGTCACAACAGGCATAAAAAGGCCAGTGGACCCGGCGACGGGCGGAGGCTTTATTCAGGGTACATATATGTAGGCCTAATAGAAATTCGATTTTACGAAAAGGTTCATGAATTCAACACTACTGGTTTGAATAGGCCTAGGCCTACAGGGTCACCCTATTTGAATTTTTTTTAAACAAACCTAAATTATTACAGTGCATATACGGAAAATGTATCGAACTCTCTACACTTTGCGATGGCGCTGTTGATTGTTCCTACTATGGTGATGATGAACATGTGGAGCATTGTCCAAAAGGTAAGAATTCGTATTGATCTTAACAGTGCGCCCCCTTCCGTTGTTAGTGTTTTTGTAAAAACAGAACGTAAATTCGATTGCATAGTGTATTTATAGGTACGTACATGTACGGTGATCACTCCAATTTCACTCTTTATCGAGTGGAAATTCACTCATAAATGACTAGGTATTATTTTGAAATAGTGGAAAATTAGTAAAATCCACTCTGATTAGAGTGAAATTTCACTCTGTTCACTCAATCTATTTCATTCTATTTGGAATTATCACTGTAAGCACTCACTCTTTCACATTTAGAGAGCACGTATTTAGGTATATTAAACATAATTGATAAACTGAAAGACAAACCATACATTCTAAACCCATTTTTCTTTGTGTATATTATGTTTCTGTTTTATTGATGGTGAACACAAACCAATTTACATTGTATTCGAAACTTTACATCAATTATTCAATTTCCGCAAATTGACAAGAAAAATCATTTGCGTAGTAGCTCTCACAAATTTTATGGGGATATCTATAAAACATGGAATTGCCATTTCTCAATCCCTGATTGCTAATTGGTCATGATTATTTTCGTCCAGTTGTTTTTCGTTCTCTTTATAATAATGATAGTGATGAAGGAACAAAATACGATAGCCTTATCATATATATTTTTGCTACTTGGTTATTAATATTTGTATGTTTCGGATGCATTGTGGCCGTTTTGTGTATTGCCAAGGTAATTTCCAATAATGATACTAGAGCGAGTCATTTAAATATATTGAATTTAAATATACTGTATACTTGATTATACTGTAGACTATTTTTATGCCAGAAGTCTTTGTACGGGCGAATTCATCTTTCCTCTAGCTTGGAAAGCTTCTAAAGTGAGGTAATAATGTATATTTGTAAACTGTGCAAGAAGCTGCTTGTGCAAATTGAAATCATTGCTAAAGAAAGTCCATTTCTTGCGCAATTTGATAATGCACAGAACGGTACAAATGTGCATGACAGCAGCGCAGCTTTTCAACAGTCCAATTACATGAGCATAGGCCTTGTCGTTATTGCCTGATTGGATCTTGAAATTCAATATTCTGGTGTTTCATTTTTGTATTAAATTAATATTTCATGAAGTTTTTAATTATGTCGTCGATGAAATACTTGCAATGAATTATAAATACATCTGATCTAAGGTATATTCATGTTCAATGTCAAATGCAATGTACATTAATGGGCCAGCTAGTTATTTGATGTTGCATTGTGGTCTGAAGCTGATGTTTTGGGGATTCCAGTTAGTCATTCCCTTATTTTAAAAAAAGAAGATAAATAAGTAAAATACTTGGTTATACGTAATGTGCAAATTTATTATCAACTCGTTCGAGGAAACCGTTGTTTAATGGAGATAAATATAATCAGCTTTCAGGATGTCTTAAAAACAGCGAATTGGATTAAACAGTTGTATATTTAAGGAGATGGTACATGCATTTGAATCTTTGTCCCATGAGGAGGGTTACAC